AGTAGTAGTAGTAGTAATAGTAGTCAGCAGCAGCAGCGACGGTCGTATTAAAGCTTCAGAAGCAGCAGCATGTCTTCATGGGCTCACGTTTTGGGACTTTCATCGGCTTAGCGTGCTTCGGACCAGGTGGCATCTCCCTTAGGGTTGGAGCGAAAATCCTGTCCCCGCCCTGGCCGGAACCAGTATCATCCCCTACCGCATGGCCGCCCCTCATCCTTCAATTCCGTCTGGTATGACATTGGTCCAGTCGAAAAGGAAGCCTGGCAGGTGCAGCGAGAGCGGGAAGTCTTCATCGAGGCGGAAGTTGTGCCTGCCAGTCATGAGTTTGAACGCGAGGAGTGTCCACCACCCTCGGGCAGGAGCTTCCCAAGTTCCTCAGCTCTGAAGATGCTGACGACGAAACGAAGTGCCAGGCAGCGTGCACAAGCGGCATCGCGTGAAGCACGATGGCCTTGTAGTGCATGAAGCAGTTGCTCGACTGCCGTCTTAGCCACCATGGTACCGGCATGCCCCGGCCGCCAGGAGCAAATTGAAGTCGGCAAGAAGCACGGGGTCGGCCTCTGAGCGTACTCAGCATACTCCAGACTCTAGTTCGTGATTGGATTGATGCGGAGTGATCAGGTCCCTGAAAGTCACTTGCAACAACTCCGACAGCGCATCGAGGTGGGCTGGGTTGCAGACAAAGTAGCTGCCAGTGTAGCTCGTTGCAGAAGTTAAGCGGTTCTCTGCAGAGACCAGCTTAAACGTGCCGCCAATCTTCAGCGGTCCGCTGGAAAGCCCGCTGCATGCCATTTGCAGCCGCAGCACCATAAGCCATAAGCCAACTGTACATGCGCTGGAGCAAGATTGCATACGCCCGCCGCTATGCATCGTAGTTGTGCACAGACTTGACAGCAGTCTCTGCCTGAGCACTCGCCAGTTCATCAAACTCGGTCGCGACTTGGAGGAGGAGGAGTTGACGAAGGTAGGACCGTGTATCAGCCAACGTGCAACATGCTGCACAGTACTGTAGAGCCACTGTTGGGCAGCTGTCTTTACAGGCGCAGGAGATGACCACTGAGTCAACGCGCCGCTTCGTCACCTCTTGCTTTGCAGGCGCGGCTTGCGCCCCTTCCCACTTGCAGTCGTGCAGAGATGCTGGTGTGCTTTCTGAGGGCGCAGTCTCATGCACATCGACCCGAAGGGTAAGAAAGTCAAGGCGCGATGCGACAGGGATAGAGTCAACAGTTTGTTCTCAGATGCATGGTGCCAGTACTCACGCTTTCTGCAGGGTGAGAGGGATGAGCTGCCCTTGCCAGCTCTTGTGCAGGTGCTTTGTAAGCTCGATCCTGCTATGCGCAAACTGCGCATCGAAGAGGAGAATTTTGCCGAAACAAGTTTACTGCAGGGGCCTCTTGCGTAGTCTTACTGTCGGTGAGTGGCCAACGGGGAACTGCTTTTCGTCTTCGCTGCCGGTGTTTTCCAATCTCTCTATCCCTCTTTTCTGTTTTCGACACTTGTCTCCCTTTGTCATGCAAAAGGCTCGAAACGGACTGAGAATTGACGAAGAGGAGGAAACCAGTGGACAGAGACCAGACGTTTTGGATAGCAAACGCGAGCCGCTTGAACAAGACTGGGGAATCTGAGAAAGGGAAACAACAGAAACTAGATAATCCGGGAGATGGGAGAACAGCGCCCGAACGTGATTCGAACATTAGACAGCGAGGAGAACGCTTCAAAGAGACTGCAGAACTTGACGGGAACAATTGTCGAATCGTATTAAACAAGTTGAGAAATTGAAGGCCAGGAGAACCATCAGCAAAATGCTGGAAAGCAGTTGCGGCATCTGACAAATTGAGAATTGATAGGATTGGCAAGACTGAGAGGCATGAGCAAAGCGCTGGAAACAGATTCCAAAGTTTGAGAAGCAGGAGCAAAACTCTCGAATGGGACAGGGCAATTCAGCAAGAAGAGAGTTTAAGAAAGAGACGCAAACCAGTCGAGAGGGACAATAACGTTGGGCGGGGACGAGAGGACTTGCGAAAGAGCAGTGCGACGACCGAACGCAAGGAACATTTGCACAGAGAAGCACGCTCGAAAAAATAAATTAACAAAGTCCAGA